TGCTTCCTTCCTCCCTTCCTTTCTTTCTCTTTCTTTCTTTCCTTCCTTATTTTCTTCCTTTCCTTCCTTCCCTTCTTTTCTTCTCTTTTTTCTTTCTTTCTTTCTTTCTTTCTTTCCTTCCTTCCTTCCTTTCCTTCCTTATTCCTTTCTTTCCCTTTCCTTCCTTTCCCTTCCTTCCCTCCTTCCTTCCTTCCTTCCTTCCTTCCTTTCTCTTTCTTTCTTTCCTTCCTTCCTCCTTTCTTTCTTTCTCTTTCCTCCCTTTCCCTTTCTTTCTTTCTTTCTTTCTTTCTTTCTTTCTTTCTCTTTCTCCTTCCTTCCTTCCTTCCTTATTTTCTTCCTTTCCTTCTTTTCTTCTCTTCTTTCTTTCTTTCTTTCTTTCTTTCTTTCTTTCCTTCCTTCCTTCCTTCCTTTCCTTCCTTATTCCTTTCTTTCCCTTTCCTTTCTTTCCCTTCCTTCCCTCCTTCCTTCCTTCCTTCCTTTCTTTCTCTTTCTTTCTTTCCTTCCTTCCTCCTTTCTTTCTTTCTCTTTCCTCCCTTTCCCTTTCTTTCTTTCTTTCTTTCTTTCTTTCTTTCTTTCTTTCTTTCTTTCTTTCTTTCTTTCTTTCTTTCTTTCTTTCTTTCCTTTTTCCATAAAAAGCCACTTGCCCTCAGTGGAGCAAGTTCCCTATCAGCTGAAGTGCCTCTGGGCAAATTAATATTTTAGTCAGCGTAGTGGCGTGAAACTCAGCAGACACGTTCCCGTCAGCAACTTTTCCCTGTCGTGCTTCAATCCTTCCCGCACGCAGGGTCCTTCTCCCCGCCTCTCCGTTTGGGGGGGGGTCTCAGCCTCCTTTTGGGGACCACTTTGCTTTTGCCAAACGGGAGTCGGTGGTTTAGGGAGGAAGGCCGGGGCCGCTGCCAAGGAAGCCGCTTGGCCGAGCCCCCGTGTTGGGGCCGAGGGGTCAGGCGGTTTGAACCAATGGGATTGGGTGTCATTTTCGATCGAGCTGACATGGCAGACGTTCCTTCTGGGCATGCTCAGTAGAGGGACCGGTGCCAGTCACCAAGGCAACATGGAGACTGGGGAATGGGAAGGGGCTTGACTAGCAGCCAAAGCTGCCACATTGCCTCAGCATTAACGGCATCTTTAATAAACGTTTAAGAGGCAGCCCCACAAATGAGTTGTGACAGCTTGCACAGAGCATCAGATCTCCCCCCCCCCTCGCCTCCTTCCGTCCTTCGCCTTTAAAGAGCCCCACAGCCTGGACAACTTTGACATAATTTTTGCAATAATTATCACTCGAAGAATTTCCACACCAGGAGTGGACGTCAGACCCCATCACGTCAGCCCGGCAATAAATGCTGACCAGCTAACCCCGGCCTCTCTCTCTTCCTCAAACGGCTTGTGTGTCGCGGGGGGAGGAGGGGAAGATGGTTGTTTTCTCCCTGTGCGTAGGTGATTTTAAATGGATGCGTTATTTCTTATTGTGGCTTGATTTCCACAACTTTGTTTAGTGACACTTTGTGGGTCTCTGTCTCCCTCCCCCCCCCCACTTTTCCATCTTCCTCTTTCGCACGGGCAGGAAACGGGCAGCCCACGACCCCTGGGCGGTTTAACCTAACGCAGATGAAGCCCGAGGCGGCTGAGAATCCCGGCTCGGGACCCGCCGCAAGCCAGGATTCCTTGCAGGAGCACAGCCTGGACCTTAGAATGAAAGATCACGGGTAAGAAACCGTGGGTGCTCCGTTGCTGGACATTTTTCAAGAAGAGGCTGGACAGTCACCTGTCTGAGATGGTATAGGTTCTCCCGCTTGAAGGCTGGACTAGAAGACCTCCAAGGTCCCTTCCGGCTCTATTCTATGCTAAAACAGAGGAGAACCACCCAAATTGGGGACGTCTCCCGCAATCCCTTGCCATTGGCCAGGCCACCTGGACCCCAAGACTACCTGCAGGGCACACCAGTTGCCTCCCCTTTCAGCTGTAGAAGAAAGAGGTGTTTGGAGGTCTGCCTGAGTGGAAATATCTCCACTTCAAGGAGGAGGCCCCACTGGCTAAGCTTTGTGGTGGGCCCCGTGTGTGTCGTGGGCCTCCTTACCTGTTTAACCTCCCAGCCAGAGTTGGGCGTTGTGGCTGAGCAATAAGGGGGACCTCCCAGCCAGGTGCTCCCATCTTTGGAACCACAGCAAGAAGCCCTTTTGGCTGCTCTCCTGACATAGTGGAGAGGAGAAGGCTCCCATCTGGGATTGGCTAAGCTTTGTGGTGGGCCCCGTGTGTGTCGTGGGCCTCCTTACCTGTTTAACCTCCCAGCCAGAGTTGGGCATTGTGGCTGAGCAATAGGGGGACCTCCCAGCCAGGTGCTCCCGTCTTCGGAACCACGGCAGGAAGTTCTTTTGGCTGCTCTCCTGACATAGTGGAGAGGAGAAGGCTCTCATCTGGGACCAAATGGGAAGGGGAAGTTGGCTATCCGGTGGGCTACCCAGGCCAGATCCGAAAGCCTCAGAGACCTCCTGGCGCAGAGGCAGACGGTGCAAAGGGAGGATGTCCTGGCCAGGAGAAGGGCGGGTTGCTTCCCTTCATCCTTCATATGCATCAGGTGGAAGATGGGGAGGTGGGTTTTTTTTTTTTTTTTTTTTTGCCAATTTGAAAAGAGAATTAATTGCAGGTCCCCTATGCACATCTTAACTAAGCCCTGTTGGTTTGTGTGTTCCAGTAATGAATCAAATGGCCACACAGTCTCGGCAAATTCATCTCTTTTATCCTCGCTTATGAATAAGGTAAGAGCCATCCATCAGCCTGGCTTTCATTCCCCCCACCCAGAGAAATTAAAGCAAGAGAAGAGGGAGACGCGTTTGTTTTTTAATGTTTTCCCTCTAATAAGATGAGTTTGTACCATTTAAATTTTGAGACCATTTTTCATCGGGTATAATTTCAGAGCCACTGCTTACGAATTAATTTAATGAACTGGCTGAAGAAATATATCGCAGCCCCTGACACACACACACACTCAGTCTCTCTCTCTCTCTCTCTCCCTCTCTCTCCCTTCCTTCCTTCCTTCCTTCCTTCCTTCCTTCCTTCCTTCCTTCCTTCCTTTCTTTCTTTCTTTCTTTCTTTCTTTCTTTCTTTCTTTCTTTCTTCCCCCCACAAGTAGGAGGACTGTGAAGGGGCTTGCTGTTTTTTTAATTTCAGAACCAGCCACTTCTTGTTTTGCTTTTATTAGTGCCGTGTATTTACCTTAGAAGTTTCAAAAAGGGGTTGGAGGAATCTGCTTTTTTTCCCCCTTTTGTTTATTTTTCCGAGAATGGAAAAGAAGGAGAAGGGCCGCCAGAATTTTGGAGCGAGCAGGCTTCTCTCGAAAGCCTTTTCGTTTTGAAAAATCACGCGGCCCTTTTTATGAAGGCCATTATTTAAATTATGCATCCATCGGGCGGTGTGGGTTGTTTTTTTTTTTTCTCCTTCTGTAAATGTTAAATATAATTTTGGCGAGAGCGTTTGCCTTGCCTTACATAGCCAGGACCACTCAGAGCCTGCTTATCCTCAAAGCCAACGTTGAGGTTTCTTCCGAGGTGCTGCCCTGAACCTGCCATCCAGCCAGGGCTGAGGATCTTTCCGGAACGACGGTGTGGCTTTGCTTGGAGCTGCATCCGTTCTCGCCAGGCTTTTGAGGGGCTCTCTCTTTCTCCCCAGTTCTCCAGCACTTTCTTTAGCTTGACTCTCCTGTCGTTCCCCTCGCCGTTTGGGAGGAATTTGCAAAGCTTGGCCTTCTGGGTAGCTTAAACCCTGCCACCTTCAAACTGGCTTCTGATGAAGGCTAGCATTAGCCACCTTCCTGGACTTGAGAGCAATAGCACTTAGCACTTACATACCACTTCACGGTTCTTTGCAGCCCTCTCTAAGCGGTTTGCAGACAGCCTGTTGCCCCCTAACAATTTGTGTCCTCGTTTTACTGACCTTGGAAGGATGGAAGCCTGAGTCGACCTTGAGCCGATTAGGATCGAACTGCTGGCAGTGGGCAAAGTCAGCCTGCAATACTGCATTCTAACCACTGTGTCACCATGGCGGACAGAAGGAAAGAAGGAAGGAATAGCTATAGCACTTAGACTTATATACCACTCACAGTGCTTTGCAGCCCTCTCTAAGCGGTTTACAGAGTCAGCCTATAGCCCCCCAACAATTTGGGTCCTCGTTTTACTGACCTTTGGAAGGGTGAAAGCCTGTGTTGACCTTGAGCCAATCAGGATCGAACTGCGGGCCGTGGGCAGAGTTTAGCCTGCAATGCTGCATTCTAACCACCGCCCCACCACCCCTCGTATAATGGCAAGGAGCCTCGTCTTTCCATCAAGGCAGCAGCAAATGCTTCCTCTGACTCAGGAGAGGGGAGAGGAATGGCCCATCCTACGAGGAGGGGGGTTCATTCAGACCACACCACCCCAAAAGCCAGGCTTGCTGGGGACGATGGGTGTTCAGCAGCTTGCGTAAAGCCGCTCAGGGAGAGTGTAATTGATGGAGCAGATAAGACTCTGGGCTTGCCTGGGTTTGAGATCTCAGCGCCACGCAACCGGGCAAGCTCCCGTTCTCGCCCCTGCTCCTGCCAACCTCGAAGTTCGAAAGCATGGAAGCGCGAGTAGATAAATAGGTACCCCTTCGGTGACCACGCGGAAATGTCTTCCGACAGCGCTGGCTCAAGGGCCTTAAAACGGAGGTGAGCAGCGCCCCCTAGAGTCGGCAATGACCAGCGGAATAAAACCCATAGGGATTCCTTGCGTCGGCCGAATCCACGGGTCTATGCCTCTCACATTTTTTTTCCCCTCTTAGAGATCCGCTCGGGAAGTTCCCGGCTTCTCTCCTAACGCCGGAATCCCTTTTCTGCCCGCAGATGTCTCAGAATAACCCGAACCTGGGAAGCCTCCTCAGCGTGAAGGGGGAGAGCGACGGTGGGCAGCTGCCAGCTGCGGGAGACGCCAGTCAGTATTTGGGCAAGACAGTGAAGGCTCTGGTTCAGGAGAAGCTCGCCGAGCCCTGGAAGATGTATTTGCGCAGGTGAGGGCAGGAGGAGACCCAAAAGGCTGTTTGGAGGTCAGCGCTGCCCCATGGAAGGCCCTGGGCCTGGGTGCCAAGGAGCCTTCCCTGTCCTCGGTGGCTGGGCACCAAAGCAGCGTGCAGGGCAGATTGCCAGGACCCTGGTTAGCTTCCAGTAGCTCAGGCATCACTACGTCCCGGGGACTTGAGTTATTTTGCCCATTAATGGAATTTAACCCTGCCTCAGCTTCTGTAAAGACATTTACAGTAAAAAAAAAAAAACAGACTCAGCGCACATAAAACGGGCCTAACATACCCAGGACTGGAAGTCAAATCAACTAGTTCCCTGCATTGAGAAATTCAGAGCCTGCCCGAAGGCGCCAGGGGGGCCTGTCCGGCATCCAAAACCAGGGCCTCCGTCCTCGCTCTCAAGCAGCAGCATCCACCAGCCTCCGTCTCCTGTTGTTCCCTGGAATTGCCCCCTTGCCTTAAGTTGGCTGGCTGCTTCTTGGGGGTTCAATTTGTTCCGTTCAGGCCAGCGAGGCCTTCAGCTTCCTCTGCCGAAGACGTCAAGGCTCCTTGCAGCCCTGCTTTGCCCGGCTCTTACTGTTGAAATACTCAACTTTGGTTTTCATGCCTCCAGTCGCTCCTGACCCAGCCCTGTCTGTGCCTGAACCACTTGGGGGAAGACCCGAAGTTAAGAAATGTCCAGCCAAGAAAGCCGAATGAATTAGGTTCCCCTTCTCCCCTCCTGTGGTTCCTTCAGTCTTCGAAAAGGGAGTATTTGGCTTTTCCAGAAAGGTCCAAAAGGCTTCTGAAGCTGCTTCTTGCAGCTCCTCAGTCTGCTACACGACAACCGTCTCCTTAAAGATCATGAGCCTTCTCACAAGGAGAGGTGGGGCGTTAACAGCTTCCTTACTCGCAGGGAAGGCTGAACAAATCAAAATCGACCTCCCCACTGGCTTTAAAAAAAACCCACGATAAGAAAAGGCTCAATTTTTTTTTCCAAATCAGACAGAAAACATATATATATGTAAGAAAGCAACACCATCTCATATACGTGTGTGTGTGTTAAATTTGGATTGCTAACCAAGCGTTAAAAGGGAAGCTGATATAGCTATTTCGAGCTCCTTAGCTCTCAGCAGCCAGCCATACCCTTCTGAGATTCGAATCTGGGCTGCTTGCATATAGATTTCTTTCTCCCATATTTGGGCCGACAGGGTGCATCAAGAAACACTCAAGGTAAATCTCCTCCCCCTGTCTCTTCCCTACCTGATACAGCTGACAAAGTGAGAAAGAGCTTGTGGCCTAGAGGTTAATACAGCTGCCTAACATGCACACAGCCCAGGCGCGAATCTCAGAAGGGTAAGTCTGGCTGAAGAGAGTTAAGAAACTCGAAATAGCTATCCCAGTTCGCCCTTTATTCTTTGTTAGAGATCTAAAAAAATGTGTGTGTGTGTGTATATATATATATATAAGAGACAGTGTTGCTTTCTTTCCGTAAGAAGGACACCTTCATCTGTGTTTTCCAGTATGTAAATATATTTAAATCCAGCCAATTCAAAGCCAAGCAATTAATTAAAAGACTGACCCTCTTAGGAGACGGCAGGCCCGCTTCTTCCTTGTCCAGCAGGCCTGCTCTCTTTGTCCCCCAGTATCTGCCTGATCAGCTGGGCCATTATGCTCCAGCCCAAGGAGGGGGTGTCCTTGTCTCCCATTCAAAGCCCAGCTAGGAATGAACATTCCCGCCGCTTGCAGAATGAGACCAGCCACTTAAAATGGGGAGCAGGTGGGGGGGACAGGACTCTGGGCCCAGGAGAGCAGCCTCTGCTTTGCAGGCCGGAGGGGGAGAGTGGCGGACAGGGGTCTGGCCTGAATCACCGGGGGGTCTCTGCGCGTCTGTGGGGCAGCCCAGGTGCCGAACGGGGGCCTGCAGAGTTTCAGGCTCCCCCCCTTCTTCTCCTCGGCAGATTTGGCACCAAGGATTTCTGTGATGCCCAGTGCGACTTCCTTCACAAGATGCATTTCCACTGTGTGGTGGAAGAGTGTGGGGCCCTCTTCAGCACTGTGGATGGAGCCCTGAAGCACGCTAAGTAAGTCCCAGGCAGTGTGTGTGGGTCTGTGTGCGTGTGTGTGTGTGTGTGTGTGTGTGCGTGCATGCTTTTAAATCCCTTCAGGCACGGAGGAGGAAGACTGGAGATGGCAGAGATGATTACAGGCGGAGGGACCAATTTGTTTCTTTTAAAAAAAAATGCCTCTGGCCGTCCGCTCACTCTCGGTGACTCTGGGCCACGTACACAAATACAAACCCAAGACACCCACAGTAAACAAACACGGGTCTTCCTCCTCCAATCCTGCCCAGGGAGGGCGGGAGGCATTGGTGCTGGCCTGTCTGGGCCAGACACACCCCTGGCACAGCTCCTTCCTTGTAAGCCCATAAAGAGTTGGAAGGGACACGTCGGAGGTCATCTAGCCCAACCCCCTGCTCAAGCAGGAGAGTCTATACCAGGGGTCTTCAAAACTGGCCCTTGGATGACTTGGGGACTTCGACTCCCAGAATTCCTCAGCCAGTGTGGACACTGGCTGAGGAATTCTGGGTGTTGAAGTCCACAAGTCACAAAAGGGCCAAGTCTGAAGACCCCTGGCTTGCAGGATCTCCAACAGAACTTTAGTGTTCTCTTGGCCTCAGTCTTCACACCCGTGAAATAGGAACACTGGCGCCAGCTGATACTGCGGCTTGGTGTCATTGTGGATACAGGCAGTGCCCTAATTCAGTGGTTCTCCACCTGTGGGTCGGGACCCCATTTGGGGTCGAACGACCATTTCACGGGGGTCGCCAAACAACGCAGTCCGCCATTTTTCCCCCTTTTTCTTAGCTGTGCTGCTCCCTTTTATTCTATTGGCTTTTGAAAGCCAATAGAATCGACTCTCCTGAATAGAGTCTAATTCTATTGGCTTTCAAAAGCCAATAGGAATTGTCCAGGCTGTCTCTGCCTTGCCGAGCCCGCCAAAAGTCCCAGTCTGCAAACGGTGCTGCACCCGTTGAGTAGTCCCCGACTTACGACCGGTTGAGTAGTCCTCGACCTACGACCGGTTGGGGGTCGCGGCATTAAAAAGGTTGAGAACCACTGCCCTAATTGAACCACTGCAGTGTTCACTCAGCCCAGCTTCCTGGATCACAGCTAATGAAGAAAAGGCTGGTGTGGGGTGGACACACCCGTGGATCCCATCTTGGGTGGGTTTGCTCACGCTGTCTCCCCATGGTCTTGGTGAACTGCTTTCCCTGATTGGAACACTAAAACGTGTGTGTGTGTGTGTGTGTGTGTGTGTGTGTGTGTGTGTGTAGATCCTAGGGGTTTTCAAGCTGGAAAAAGGCCCAAGAATGACAAGGGGGAGAGGTGTTGTGGTAGAAACCCAGAGCTTTGTCCAGATCATCTGCCCTGGAGATTTGAATCTTGCCCACTTTCAGACACGCTTTTAAACTGAGATCTAGCCACATGAGTTTTGGACAGCCCGTAAGGGGAAGGTGAGGGGAAGGTGCGATGAATGCCACTCTGTTACATCACGACGTTTTTAATTTTGTGAAGCTGCCCAGAATCAGCCTTAGGGATTCACCCGACGCCCCCGTTCAGAAATGAGCGGCAGACCACTAAGCGAAGCCTAAACGGGGCGACTGAATGAGCTGCTCTCCTTGTCCGTGTCTGTGGCTGATGGGTCTCTCTCGCTCTCCTCACCCTTCTCTGTAGTTTCCACTTCCGAACAGAGGGGGGCGCCGCAAAGGGAACCTCGGAGCACAGCTTCCCAACTCCGGCAGAGAACAAGACCTCCATCACCCCTTCCTCTCCATCCACCGCCTCCGCCCTTCTGGCCGCGGCCGCAGAGGGGCCCACCGCGAATCCGGCTAGCGTGCCGTCCGCTCCCACGCTCCTGGCCTGGAAACAGCTGGCCTCCACCATGTCTCAGCTGCCGGCCTCGGGGGCCGGCCTGACCACCTCCCCTTTGGCCACCACGTCCCTGGAGAACGCCAAGCCCCAGGTCAAGCCGGGCTTCCTCCAGTTCCAAGAGAAGTGAGTGGCTCTTTCGGAAGGGCGAGGCGGGATCCGGGGGGGGGGGGATCTGGGTGTGGCGTGTCCGAGGCAGGCCTTTGGTCACCGGGCTGCCCACGGCTGGGAAGGGGAAGCTGGCAACCGTCCCTCTCAGCCAGAAGGACTCACGGTTGGTCTCCCCTCCAGCGATCCTTGCCTGGCAACGGACTGCAAGTACGCCAACAAGTTCCACTTCCACTGTCTCTTCGGGAACTGCAAGTACGTGTGCAAAACCTCCGGGAAGGCTGAGTCCCATTGCCTCGACCACATCAACCCCAACAACAACCTGGTGAACGTGCGCGATCAGTTTGCCTATTACTCCTTGCAGTGTCTCTGCCCAAACCAGGTGAGGACCACCCAAGGGTCCCGAGAGAGGGGGGGGAGGGAGGGAGAGGGAGGGAGAGAGAGAGAGGAAGGGAGAGAGAAAGAGGGAGGGAGCGAAAGAGAGGAAGGGAGAGAGAAAGAGGGAGGGAGAGAGAAATGAAAGGACAAAGGGATGGAGAGAGAGGGAGAAGAGGGAGGGAGGGAGAAAGGAAGGGAGAGAGAAAGGGACGGAGGGATAGAAAGGGAGAGAGGGAGGGAGGGAGAGAAAGGGAGGGAAGGGAGAAAGGAAGGAAGAGAAAGGGAGGGAGAGAGAAAGAGAGGGAGGGAAAGGGAGGAGAGAGAGAGAGACCTCTGAGACCACACGCCCTTCCAAAGCTGGAGCCCTTCAAACTTGGGGGGTGCTGTAGCGCCTCTATTTTCAAAGGCCAAAGTCCACCTGGGAGTTGAAAGGCAACCCTTTGGGGGGGGGCGTGTGACACGCACACACACCCCTGGGATGCTGCAACCATCATAAATGCGAACCAGTTGCCAAGCGTCTGAACTTGGATCACGGGACCCAGTGGAGATGCAGCCCCTCTTCCCTCTTTAGTGTATAAGGGGGGGCCCCAGGAAAAGTGTGTTTTCCATTGAACCCCATTATGGGGTTCAGAGCACCCCATCAAACACCTTTCTCCCAAGATCTGCCTGGGAGGAAAGGAGAGGCGGCGTAGCAGGAAGAGATTCTCCTGGAGCACTTAAGCGAGATCGGGGTGTGTGTGTGTGCTTTGCCTGGAGATGGGGGGGCTCTTCCCAAGAGGGGAGGCCTGACCCTCCCTCCCTCTCTCCCTTCCGCAGCACTGCGAGTTCCGCATGCGGGGCCATTACCACTGCCTCCGCCCCGGCTGCTTCTTCGTCACCAACATCACCACCAAGCTGCCCTGGCACGTGAAGAAGCACGAGAAGGCCGAGCGAAGGGCCGCCAACGGTTTCAAGTACTTCACCAAGCGGGAAGAATGCGGCAGGCTGGGTAAGCGGCCGGGACGGGGGACAAACCCCCCCCCCGGATGAGCCTCCACGCTCGGCTTTCCTTCCAGCTTCTGGGGAGGTTAAGCGGGTCTTTCAACGTCGTTTTACTCCACTAGCGTTCCTCCCTTCGATCTGGGGCTCCTTCCCTGGTAATCAGCTGGGGCTCCAACGTTAGAGTCCCGCACTGCCACGCCGGGCAAGGTCGAGCCACCCGTCCGTCTTTCCTCCTCCAGCCCTTCTTCGACCCTCTTGACCGTCAGATCCTGAGGCAGGAGGGGAGGAAACAATTGGAAACCACTCCACCAGTCCTTGATACCAGTGCCCCTTTTTCCTGGCAAGCCCCTCCCCCTCTATTCGGGACATCCCAGAATAGAAATAGGGTCCCCTTTAGGCGTGGGTTCTGCTGGCAGCGAGGGTGGCCCTGCCCTTTTCTGATGCCAACTGCCTGGTGAAGCAGCCGGCACGTCAAAGCGCCCAAACTGCGCGGCGGCAGCAGGTGTGGCTAGCAGCTGGATTTGCCAGTAACAAAGGCCGGGCCAGCATCTCCCCCAGTTCCTCCAGCAGTTAAAATAAGGGAGCCCTGGTGGCAGTGCCCGATTAGGTTGCCCACCTGGGGCAGAGGCCGGAGACCCTTCTGCTCCGCTGGTGTGTGGGAACGGCCAAAAGGAGCCTGGCCTGTCTTGGCCTTCCCCGGTCATTTCACCGAAGTTTGGCGTCCCTTGGGCTACGGCTGCTTCTGGGTCTTCCCCCCCCCCTTGGCTGCTCAACTTCAGCAGTGGAAAGTCCTGAGCTCCCCCCCCCAACGGCAACCCTCCTTTATCCCGCCACCTCTGGATCCTGGAGGGAACTGGAAGTGCCCTTCGCGTGCCTGGCATCCTCGCCCCTCCTGAACGCCACTCCAGGGCTGTGGATGGGACACGAGGGGTGCGCACAAAAGCACCCCAGAAGATTCAAAGAGGGGGGAAAAGCGACTCCATTTTGTAGTTCCAAAAAGCAACTGGACTTTTCTCGGTGAAAACATTTCACGTCTCATTTCTTCAGTTCTGGAGGGAAAAATAAATAAATAAAATAAAAAGAAAGTCCCGTTACCTTTTGAAAAAGCACCAAGAAGTGGGGGGGAGGGCGTGGGGATCACGTTATTCTCCAAGGCGCCTGAAGGCCGGACAAGAAACAACGGGTGGAAACTCATCGAGGAGAGAAGCAAGGTGGAACTAAGGAGAAACTTCCTAATGGTCTTAACCAGTGGAACAGCTTGCCACCAGAAGTTGTGGAGGCTTTTAAGGAGAGACTCGACAGCCCCCTTATCTGAAATGGTGTAGGTTCTCCTGCTTGAGCAGGGGGGTGGGCTGGACTAGAAGACCTCCAAGGTCCCTTCCAGCTGTATTCTAACCATGACCTGGATGGTTGAGTGTCTCCATAAACTCCCTGTTATAATTCATCAATTTAGGCCAGGATGACAGCAAGGCACAGGCTGTAACCAACCACAAGGGCCCAGGCCGCCCTCTCACCTGGCTCCTGGCTCAGGAATGCCAAGAGGCTTGGCGCTTGGCTGCCATCCGGCACATCACCGGGGCCACCCAAAACCGTCCGATGACACCCAACACTCGGCTCTCCTGGCAACGGGCAAGCCTTGGCCTGCCTGCCTGCTGTCAGTTTCATCCCCAGCAGAGCAGAGAGCAGGAAGGCTGGGGAAGGGCAGGGCTGGGAGGGGGGGCATTGTGTGTGTGTGTGTGTGTGTGTGTGTGGAGGAGAGCCTCCCCAGAAATGCCAGCTTGGCAATGCCCTCCTAGTTTGCAATGCTCGCTTTGCAGGCTGACTCGTGAGCAGACCTGGGGCAGAACGTGGCTTAAAGAGCCCGGGGCCGCTGCATTCATTAATTTATCCCTCTGCCCCCCCCCCCCAAAAACACTCAAGTCCATCTGCAGTGGGGTGGGGAACCGCAAAGGAAGCAACTCTAGCTCCGGGGTGGCTTTAGAGCTTGTCAGGTTGTGGGGCGGGGGGGGGGGGGAAACACGGACGGCTGGTGCCTGTTTTTTAACCTCCGCTGCTTTTTAATTGATGGCTTTATTATGCTGCTTCTGACGAGATGTATATGGATTTTGGATTTTATTTGTGTTTTCATTGTGTGTCATGCTGGGAGAGTATTTGCTATAAGGCAACTAATAAATCTTGGAAATAATTAAATAAAAGTTATAGCGGGCGGCATCTAAGAGGGCCTTTGTCTCTCTCTCTCTGTCTCTCCCGCCTGTGGAAAACAAGGAATGCCACTTTTAAAGACGGCCCCTGGCATCAGCAATTTTCATAAATTTCAAACGGCTTTCCAATTAAAGCCTTTTAAAAACTGATCAGTTTTAATTTGTTCAACCTGCCAATTAATAAATTTTAAGTGTGGGCGGCTTTGACTTAGGTCTCTCTGGAAGTCATTTGGGTTATCTGGGAGATGTCCCCCTCGGTCGACCTTCGCATCCTCCTCCGCAAAGGAGACGGGCAGTTTGGGGGGGGGGTCATTGCTCAGCCTGGGCCCCTCTAGGGCTGGACCACAGGCAGTCTCCCTTTCGGGGACCTCCCCGCTTGCTCCTCTTGTGGGGAGGGCAGGCATCCCCGTCCGCCCCCTTCGGATGCTCTGCAAAGACGGGGAGGCAAATTCTCCGCAGAGGAAGAGTTTAATGCCCGAATCGCGGAAGACCAAGTGCCAAAGTGGGGGTCCCAGCCTCCCCCCACGGCAGCCCCCATCGCTATGGAGGCAACGGCCCTCTCCTCACTCGGAGAGCCTCTCTTCCCTCTGGGGTTCTAGATCGGCTGTGGGGAAGCGCTCCGGATCTCTTCCCTCCCGGCCTTGGATCAAGAGCAGCGTCTGGGGTACGTCTACTCCCGACTGCCCGGTGTTGCTTGCCGGCTTTGCGACTCTTTTCCTGTTTCCTCCCAGGCTGCAAATACAACCAGGTCAACAGCCACTTCCACTGCATCCGCGAGGGCTGCCAGTTCTCCTTCTTGCTCAAGCATCAGATGACGTCCCACGCCAGGAAGCACATGAGAAGGATGCTGGGGAAGAACTTTGACCGCGTCCCCACTCAGGTGACTGTCCCGGAGGGTCCCTTCCGCCCGGCTTCCATGTTTTCGGCGGCGGCAGTTGGGAACACGGGAAGCACGGAAGGCTCAGGCTGTGGGGCTCCCCGCAGGTGGCCCTCTGGCATCCCGGCTCACCTCGAGGGGGCGGGTAGGAGAAGGAGCAGCTTCTCCTGAAGGGTTGGAATCCCTCAGGACCACCTGGGGCCGCTTTGGGAGGGCAGTGGGCACCAGGACGAAGCCGCCTCCCCCCCCCAAGCTCCCGGCGCCTGGACCCGAACATACGTCTAGTTTGAGCGAAATAAAATTCAATTAGAGCGAAAGAAATGAAATGCGGCTTAATGGGATTGCCACCCGTGCGCTTAACTGACTTTTCCCTCATGTGATATTAAAAGTCACAATTCCTCAGCGGTTTCTCGTGGGTCTCTAGAGGGGCAAACCCAGCCCCCCTCCCCCCCAAGTTTCAGGAGCGCAACACAATCCAGGGCTGTGGATTGTCGCCTTCTTTTTGGCTTCTTTCCTGCAGATGGAGGGCTGCTTTGCAGCATCTCCTGTGCCCCCCTCCCTCCCTCCCAGGCAGGGCAGGAGATTAGGATCTACCTGGGGAGCCCCAAGCCACCTTGGCCCCACCTTTGCTTTTGGGAAGAGAAGCAGAAAGCAGCCAGATCCTCTCTCCCTCCCCACCCCAGCTCTGTTTGGCCCCCCCAAAGTCACCCCTGCCCCCTCCCTTGTCTTGCTGCAGGTCATGGGCCACCCTGCTAGGAATGACAGCCTCCCTCAAGTGAGCAGCTTGGCCCCCAGCCCAGCTTCATCAGGGACTCCTGCCTCCTTTCAGGGAGCCCCCAGCCTAATGGACCCCGAGACGGAGGAGTACTTGGATTACGCGGGATGCAGCCCGGGCGCCCTCTCTTCCGAGTCCTCCAACATGGACCGCAGCTGCTCCAGCACCCCGGTGGGCAACGAGAGCACCTCGGCAGGTGAGTGTGTGTCCCCTTCTGCCCTTCCTCCCAGCTCCCCAGCCGGGCTGGAGTCTGCGAGAGGCTGTGCCCTCTGGGTTAGGCGGTCTTCTTTTTCCAAACGCGGAGGGCCCTGGATACTCTTGGGGCAAGGGATTGGCGGAAGAGCCTCACCAAGTTAAACGGAGCCTCGGAGGGCTCTGAGAAGCCGAGCCGAGAACGCTGGGCCCGAAGACGCCGGGAACAGGAAGTCAATGCCGCTGGCTGAAAATCTCCACAACCTCATTGATTAACATTCACTTCCAATGAATCACTTGAGAAACGGGCAGACCTGCCCCAGAGCGGCAGTTGAAGGGCCTGACCTTCTGGGAGGCAGCTGGAGTGTCGGTTGACGTCCCCACCAGGGAATGCCGTGGGCCTCCCCGGACGAGCCAGCCCGAGAAGCTGCCGGTCCTTCCCTGACTTCCATTCGACCATTCACACACACACACATACACACACCGTCGTCTCCCTGGCAGACGTGCTGTCCACCTGCCCCGCTGTGGGTGGTCCGGCTGCCCTCATGGAGACCCTCTCTCTGCCGTGCTGCTGCTGCTACTGTTGCTGCTCATCACCCTTCTCCATTCTCCTCCTCCTCTGCTCTGGTTTTTCTGTCGTACGTGTGAATGTATCCTCCATTTTCCATCCTATGGCTCACACTTCTTGGGGTCTTATTTTGGTTCTGTTCCTTTTCTGGTGGTCGTTTTTGTTTTTCTTTCCCTGCTACTTTTTTTCTTTCCACATTTCTCCAGGCTGCCTGGCTGTTCTTCCTCCTCCTCCTGCTGCGGGTGACGATGTTAGCCACAATGCACCACCGCCACCTCTGCCTCCATCTTTCTCACAAGCCCTGCTCAGATCTCCCCTCCCCTCCCTGCCTTACCTCTTCTCTCCATCCTGTGTCTCATACTCTCTGCTAAGTGCCACCCTGGGATCCAGCAGGGGCATTGCCTTGCCCACCGCCAGCTCGACAGGGCTCTCACCCATCCTTGCCAGTCCAGTCAAAAGCGATGTCCCGCTAGTGCAGGATGCAGCAGGTAAATCCAACCTCCGCTTTCTCTTAGCGCTACCCCAACATCCCCCAACATCATCGGCCAGGCGCCGCTATAGACCTGGGCCCCCCAGACTGACAGCGACCTTTCAGCTGTCTTCTGGACCAGTTCCGGCTTCCTGTCATCGCCAGGCTCCCCCCTGGGACACCCAGTCCTTCAAACGGTCGCAAGGGCATTTTTGACTTTTGATGTCACCCTCCTCACATAAAACCCCAGACATTTTCTTCTCCTGGCATTGAAGGATCAACAGCCACGCGTTCTGAACGCTTCCTACACGTGGACTTAGTAGTGACGGAAACGTGGTGGGGAAAAAAATCTCTTCAGTTCCTCTCATTTTAAGAGGAATTCAGATCAAAATTAAAGCCAGGCCTGTGGAGTGTAGTCATCACAATAAGAGAAAGGTAATCTTGGGTGCGACGTGAAAGGCACTTTCTGGTGGGGACAGTCCTCGGCAAAGGAACATGGTTTCTCCCAAACAAAATCCTAAAAAGGAAATCACCATGAAATGTAGTAAAACATTTTTTTCCCCCTGAAGGCCACTCAACACTCAACCATAGAGGTGGGCGTGAAAATACTTTTGCCCAATCGCGGGGAGATGGTGGTGGTGGAGGGGGGCCACCTGGGTCTTGGAAGGACTGCTGGTCCGTAGGGCAGAGGTCCCCAACCTTTTGGGCACCAGGGACCGGTTCCGTGGAGAGAGCTTTTTCTGTAGACCGGAGGGCGCGTGGTTTTGTGTGCTGCCTGCATCCCACGGATGGGACTTTGCTTATTTGTGCGGACCGGTTGCGGGCATGCTGCAGCTCGGTACCAGTCCATGAACCGGGGGTTGGGGACCCCTGCCGTAGGGGAGGCACCTTTCCTGGGTCTTGCAAGGTGATTCCACTTAGAGACGGGATCTAGATTGTGCTCTATCACAACCTGGCAATTAAAAAGCAACAACAAAACCCTCATGCTATATGATCCAAGAAAAAATGCTTTTGCCTAATTGGGGGGAGGGTCTGGAAGAAAAAAGGGGGGGAATTGGCCTCTTCACAACGCAACCTCTGCCTTGATTCCCCAGGGAACACAATCACGATGCCAACCGCTGCGGGGGCCAAGAAGCGCTTCTGGATCATCGAGGACATGTCGCCCTTCGGCAAGCGCCGCAAGACCCCTTCTTCCCGCAAGATGCTGGACGAGGGGATGATGCTGGAGGGCTTTCGGCGGTACGACCTGTATGAGGATTGCAAAGACGCCAACTGCCAGTTCTCCCTCAAGGTCACGCACTACCACTGCACCCGGGAGAACTGCGGGTACAAGTTCTGCGGTCGCACCCACATGTACAAGCACGCCCAGCACCACGACCGAGTGGACAATCTGGTGCTGGACGACTTCAAGCGCTTCAAGTCCTCCCTCAGCTGCAACTTCCCCGACTGCCAGTTCTCCGGCAACAGCACACACTTCCACTGTCTGCGCTGCGGCTTCCGCTGCACCGACAGCACCAAAGTGACGGCCCACCGCAAGCACCACGGCAAGCAGGATGTGATCAGCGCCGCCGGCTTCTGCCAGTTCAGCTCAAGCGTGGACTGCGAAGTGGCCGAGTGCAAGTACAAACTCAAGTGTTCCCACTTCCACTGCACCTACCCCGGTTGCAAGCACACCGTGGTGGGCATGTCGCAAATGGACTCGCACAAGCGCAAGCACGAGAAACAGGAGCGGGGAGAGCTGCCGGCCATCTCTCCGGGGCCTGAGGGCCTCCCTGCTGCCCCGCTGGAGTACGAAGGCCCAAGTGCTTCCGTTAACCTGGACAGCTCCCTCAACCTGAGCACAGACGCCAAGAGCTCCCTCTTCTTCCTGCAGAACGCGGCGGGCGTGGGGCTCAACGACTCCGTGGACCTCAGCCAGAAGCCCCCCGAGGGCACGGGCGGCCTCCCTCCTGCCCCAGGGGAGAGCCTGGCCCCTCCCGCCAGCAAGCACTTCCTGGCCACCTGCAGCAACGTGGAAGTAGAGGACGATTCTTCCCACGATGATGACGACGAAGAGGAGGAGGAAATGAACGAGGAGGAGGAGGAGGACGACGATGATGAGGACGAGGACGAGGAGGACGAAGACGAAGAGGAGGAAGAGGAGCTGAACACCGATTCGGAAGACTCGCTCCCTGACACGCAGGGCCTGCCCACGAAAGACATGAGCGAACTGGAGGAGGCCGTTTTCTCCACCGCGGATCCCAGTGACGCTTCCACGCCCTCCGGCGACCCGGCCACCGCCCCGGCCCCCGAGGCCTCTCCTTAATGAGCGACCGCACGGCAGTGGTGGGTGTGGGGGTTTGGCCTTGCAAGCCGAGGAAGCAAAAACTGCATGAACAGGAGGAGACCTGCTGTGTGAGGGAGAGGCGAGAACAAATGCTAGAATGGGCAGAAGAGCAGCAAAAAACCCGACTCTGTCCCAGGAGGTGCCTGCGAGAGACGGAGGGAAGCACTGATTCTTGGACCACACAAAACACGGAGACATGACCGGACCGGAGAGGAAGCGGTGGCGGCGGCGGCAACATCCTGGGGATAGGGTGGGGTGGGAGGACCCATCTGTTGGGGTGCACATGTTTACAAGAGGGCAACAGGCAGAGCATGGTGGTCCCGCGATGCAGACGGACGTGACCCTCCCACTTCTGGATGGATGTGCTCCCTGTGGCAGGAAGCGGCCTGCCCCTTCCAAGCCCACTTCCCTTCGCGGCGGTGGGAAGACGGGATGGGTGTTTTTTTTTAACCCTTCGGCTCCGGTGTGTGTTCATTTGTCCTCTAACACTCCTCCCATTCTCAGGGAGACGGGGAGGGGGGCAGGCAGCTAGCGCCTGTCGGAGACACGAGGAGGGACGAGCGCGTTAAGTCATAACGAAATATAGATATATCTATATATCTATAGATGTAGATATAGATATATATATAGCGGCAAAGCTGGATTAGGTTCTGCTAAGCTGCAAGCCGAGTCTTTTTTTTTGCCACCGGGGGAGGGGAGACTAAGGGACGGACGGGGTGGGTTCCGGTATCACTTATATTCCTATTCCTTTCTTCCCCCTTTCTCCGGCATCAAATGAACGGGAGAAATGGGAGTCTCAGGCAGCTGGGAATGCTTGGAACAGGGGTATTTATTATCAGTTGTTTTTTTTTGTTTTTTTAAGGAAAAAGAATAAAAGGAAAAAAAAACAGGTGGGGAAAAACATGAGATGAATTGATCCAGGCTGAGAGTGAAATATCCGTAGTAATAATAATACTAATACTATTAATAATAATAATAGTTAACTAATTTTACTAAGGAAGAAGGAACTTCTTTATAATGTGAGCCTCTCCCTGGAGTTGCGGGGGGGTCTCCTGCTGATGGAGTGGGGGGCACTAAAGGAACCGAGGTGCAGCTGTAAGCAGCCCACCCTCTGGAGGGGGGGGTTGAAGGCAGAGCCCAGGGATGACCCTGGAGTTCCAGAGTGCAGCCTGCAGAAAGAGAGGAGGGCTCATCACAAGCTCTTGGGGGTGACGTGGGGGTCTTTTAAACCCAGGACTCTTCAGCTCCCCCTCCCCCGTGCTGGGTTGCCGGACAAGGGGGAGGAGAACCAGGCCCCATTTGGCCTCTTCCCCTGAAGGCCTCAGCCCAAAGCAGGTGGACCCATTCATGGCAGCATTTGGTCTTCCCAGTCCAGAGTGGGGACTGGGAAGGTCAAGTGCTCCAGCCCCCCTTACTCCTCCCCCAAAAAACACTGGGAAAGTCCAGGCACTTCCTAGCCTGGAAGGGAACAGCTCCCCAGCTTGGAGGTCTTCCACTTTGGATACCCGACAGCCGAGGTTTGCCATGGGCCACGGCCGTTCCCTTCCTGCGTCTTGTGTCTGTGCTGTTGGGCTACAAAAGGGGGGGGGAGTGAATGGAAATCGCAAACGATCCCCGGTCACTTCACAGTGCAAAGAGTGAGAATGTAACCCAGGAACTTTTGTTGAATTTAAGGCTAGCCAGGAAGGAAAAGAATGGCAAAAACCGTTTCAGATGTCCCGGAAAAAACTATAGCTGTGTTGCATTCCCCCCCTCCCCCCGTAAAAGTGGCTATATAGAAGAGAGAGAGAGACACATAGAGAGCGCGCGAGAGAGAAAGGATCGGTGGGTTACAGCTAGAACAGCTAGAAGGAGTCATTTTCAGTTTGTACTCTGAGTATCTGGTGAGAAGCTGCCTTGAGGAAACAGACATTTGGTTAAATCTACCAGGATAACTCCTGCCACACCATCCATGTTATCGAGAGGCAAAAGGGAGCAAAAGGATTTTTTTTTTTTCCCATCTGTCCTCGTGGACAGAACGTGGATCGCGACGTATTTCGGGATTTCAATTTGGCAGACATTTTTTTTAAAAAATGATTATGCAGTCGGATGAGATTGTTCGCCCCATTAATAGCAGATTGGTTGGTCATGTGGCTGGTAAGACAAGGCACAGAGTATCGATCGATTGTATTTTAAAGGGTAGCAAAAACTTTTTTTGGGGGGGGGGGGCTACCCCTCCCCGTTCTGACTTTCTCACGAAAGGTCAGCACCGTGAGGATCCCGGTTCTGGCCTGACCCTGGGTTCAACTAAGAAGGGGGCACCCCGACTCCAGGGAGTAGTGTGGCTTCCCTTCTTCCTCAAAGGCTCAAGGCTGGGAGGACAAAGAGTTGTGAGCACCCCGTTGTGACATGCCCAGCTAGGAACCCTCAGCACATCCCTGCTCCCGTTTTTAACTTCTTGGGTAGCTCACCCAAAAAGGTGCTATGTGGAAACCTCTCGTTTGCAGTCCCGTTTTCTGGAAAGGGTGGATGCCTCTGTGAGTAAACTTCTCCCCCCCGCCTCCCCCCTAGGTACCTTGAGAGAGGACTTGGCGGTCTTCCCCACAAAACTGACTTGAGTATAGCACACGTGTGTGTGTGTGTGTATATATATGTGTGTGTATTTACAAGACTTTGCGACTTTCAAAGCTGTTGTAATGTTTCTCTCACGTCTTTGGCAATAAAAACCTCTGGCTGCTCCTGGTCAGCGGCCTTTAAGCAGCCGCGGAAGGATGCAGGTAAGGAAAGAGGTAGTCGGGCTGCGCAGCAAAGGGGCAAACGGCGATTCGGACCACCGGCTGACACCCCTTTAAATCAAGCCTGCATTTCTCCCCAGTGGTGGTGGTGGTGATGGTGTTTACAGGTTAGTTGCCAGTCTGAATCACGTGCACACCCAAAGGTGTGTGGAATCCCCTTTTCTGCTTGGGATGCAGATGGCTGCAGAGTCCTAAACACTAAGTGGGGCAACTGGTTCCTTCCCTGCCACCCCCACCTCCCCAATTGGGCATGTGAGAACCCGAGTTAACGCTACATCTTATCTGCTCAGATCTCTTCTCTGTGCCTCGATCTAGACCAGTGGTTCTCAGTCTGTGGGTCGGGACCCCATTTGGGGTCGAACGACCATTTCACGGGGGTCGCCGAACAATGCAGTCCACCATTTTTCCCCCCTTTTTCCTTAGCTGTGCTACTCCCTTTTATTCTATTGGCTTTTGAAAGCCAATAGAAGAGACTCTCTTGAATAGAGTCTAATTCTATTGGCTTTCCAAAGCCAATAGGAATTGTCCAGGCTGTCTCTGCCCTGCTGAGCCCGCCAGAAGTCCCATTCTGCAAACGGTGCTGCCCCAGTTGAGTAGTCCTCGACTTACGACCGGTTGGGGGTCGCAGCATTAAAAAGGTTGAGAACCACTGCTCTAGAGTTTGGGGGTGTTTCCTCCACTTTAAAACAGGTCCTTTTCCAGGGTTTTGTTTGGAAAGGCTTTAATCCACACGTTAAATTCGGGAGAAAGCACTTAATATACCCAGGCATTAGTGGGGGAATAGGTAAGATGACAAGGCTTAAGTGCTGCGATAAGAGTCAGGAGAATTGTAATTTTTTTTTTTAACAGAACGGGAGAAGCCGGCAATTTAGAAAAAAAAAAATCTGGCAATGCACTGAAGTTTTTAACCTCTCTTAATCCACTTGGTGACCCGACCTTGCCCGATCTAATACTGAGGCTGAAAATAGTTAGCCACTTCCATTACGTAGTGGATGTTTCCAGCCCTGGGGAAGCATCCAGCAGGGCCCAAAGGCATTTGGGGGGTGCGCAGAGTGTGTTTCTCCCTGTTTAGCACATCGGTCACTTCCAAAGTGCAGTTTAGGTCCTGGGGTGTGTGTGTGTGTCTGTGTGTGTGTTACGTTTTTCCTCCCCAGCCCCTTGGAAACGGAGCCAGGAAGATGTTTCAAACCCATCTTAACTACTGCTTTGTGGGTTGAATGGGAAAACAGCCCCCGCCTCCAGCTAAATAAATTATAAAAAAATAATTAATCCCAGCCTTCCAAAAAGGAAACCATGTTTCTAGGTAGGTGTGACCCCCCCCCCCAATCCTGAAACACACCTACATACATAATAGACGTACGGGAATTTTTGAGGGAAACTTCTAGCCTTTTGTAAAATCCATATTGCACACTAGGACTATAAGCCATTGCTAGCTCATTTTTGAATTTTAAAATGTGTACCTTTATTTGGTTGTTTTTAATTTCCCCTCCCTTTTTTTTCCTCTTTCTGTGTGGGGGTGGGGGCAGGGGGAGGGACAAGTGAAGCTTGAACTACCAGTGCGCTTTTTAATGTTTTATAAATATGTATGTGTATATATATATATATATAAATATATATATATATAAAATATAAAATAATATGTATGCACATATATATATGTGTGTGTATATATCTATATGTATATACCTATATATATAGATATATAGCTATATATAGGTTTTGAGACAGGAAAAAAAAGAGGAAAGCCGAGAAAAAAAAAAATCCTACGACAGGACAGCGTGCTCTGATTTTACTTGAATTTGGTCTTCTCAGCACCTACGTTATTAAGAACTGAATATTTTTCCACTTGAATTTAGTGCTACTAGAAATTTAATATATGTGTTTTATTTATTTGATTTTTTTTTTTTTGCATGACTGATGCAAGGTTTGACATTTTCACTCAATAAAAACTGGAAAAAGCAAAAACAAAACGAAACAAACAACAAAAAACCAACAACAGCCCAATCATGGTTTTTCTAGTGGTCTGTGATTGTCTTGTTAACGGGGGACTCCAAATCCCGTTGAAGAGGCGGGGGGGGGGGGGAAATCAGGCCCCGAGAGCTAACTCAGCACATAATGCATTTCCCCTTTGATGGGGAGGGAGAAATAAGGCAGGGCTAGGCCACCTTGGCTCTTTTATGACTCGTGGACTTCAACTCCCAGAATTCCTCAGCCAGCAGTGCTGGCTGAGGAATTCTGGGAGTTGAAGTCCACGAGTCATAAAAGAGCCAAGGTGGCCTAGCCCTGCCCTAAGAAAGGTGGTAGACATGGGGGGGGGGGGGAAATACTCCAGACCCCATTTATTTCCACCAAGGTAAGGAATAGAAATTAGGAAAAAAAAGCACCGAGCATTTGGGATATTACTTCCCCCCCACCACCACCGCCCAGGAGGCACTTAGGACATCACTTATCTTCCCCCAAGGTGAGTAATGGGGGGGGGGAGGCGGGAACATCCTTGACACCACGCATTTCCCTTAAGGAGAGTGGTGGAAATAGCCCCGGGCAAGGGAACCCCTCTGCCCACCTGCCAAGGCTGGCGGAGGCTGGGCTTGCAGATCCTCTGCAAAGGGGGTGTCTCCCTTGAGCTATCTCACCCCCCCCCATGTTGGGAAAGGCCCAGGGAGGGAGGGAGAAGGGATCAAGAGGGGGGTCAGTCCTGCGACTCTTGCAAGAGACCCCGCCCTCCCTGGGCCTTTCCCAGCACGGGTGGGGGGGGGGATGGCTGAAGGGAGGCGTCCCAGGGAAGCCCCTTTGCAATCGCAGGACCTGGAAGCCCGGCCTTCAGCAGCCGTGGCCTGGGGGGGGGCAATGTTTCCGGGGGGGGAAACCCCAACAACGCCATGGCTGGTGGAGGCCGGGCTCCAAGGAATCTCTAAGCGCAAAGGGGTTTCCCTGGGTGGTTTCCCCCCCCCCTAATGTTGGGAAGGGCCGAGGGAGGAGGGGTCAAGGGGGGGGGGAAGTCAGTCCTGTGTCTTTTGTGCTGCTACAAGAGACCCCGGACTGACTCCCCCCTTGACCCCTCCTGCCTGGGCCCTTCCCAATATGGGGGTGGGCGTGGCTGAAGGGAGACCAGGAATACCCTTTTGCACTTAAGAGATTCCTGGGAGCCCGGCCTCCACCAGCCATGACCTTACGGAGGGGGGGGGGGTAAAGTTTCAGGGGAAAACAAACACACACTGCGTCCCGCAACGTCACGGATGATGGAGGCTGAGCTTCCAGGAGCAAGGTGCTTCAGGGTTTATGGGTGGTCTCCCTTCCGCCACCCCCCCCCCCCAGTTGGGAAAGGCCCAGGGAGGAAAAGAGGAGGGGGGGTCAAGTGGGGAATCAGTCCTGGGTCTTTTGTGGTTGCACGAGAGACCCAGGACTGGTTCCCCACTTGGCCCCTCCTCTTTTCCTCCCTGGGCCTTTCCCAACACGGGGGGGGGGGGGTTTGCAGGGGCTGATGGGAGGCAGATTCCTGCACCCGGGGATCCCAGGGAGGCCCCTTTGCTGTTAGAGACCCTGGAAGCTCAGCCTTCACCCTCTATGACATCCAGGGGGGGGGAGGAAGCACTTTGTGCCCCGCAATGCCACAGAGGGTGGAGGCCAGACTCCCAGGACCCCCAAAGACCATTTCCCAGGATTCCTGGGTGTGGGAATCTCAAGTCTCCCCACAGCCACCCCCAGTATGGGGATAGAGGCAGGCGGAAGGGGGGCCAAGTGGAGAGCCAGCCTTAAGTCTTTTACGCAGCTGCAAGGGGCTCCCCACTTGACCCTCCCCCCTGCTTGCCTGGGCATTTCCCCACATCCGGCCTCTCTCATTGGGGTGGTCCTCACTCCCCACCCAGGGGCAGGGGTGCGTCCGAGAGCCACACATCTGCACAATCCCGTGCCCTGGGAAGCAAGCAAGGAGTCCCAAGGCGAGAGGCCCACCTGTCCTCTCCATCAAGACTTACCAGAAGATCCGTCTTCGTGGCGGAGCGAAGCAGCAGGCTCCAGATGACCAGCGGCCGTTGGGGGCAGGACCCAAGTCCCCTTTCAGCCCCTGGCCCTTTTGCCACCCACAGCCCACCCAAAAGCCCCACCACCCAGTGTGTATACTGGCTCTCCAGCAGTTACTTCAGGGTGGAGTTGAGAAGTAAATTCTCCTAACGAACTCAGAGAGAGGCCGGCCGTTTGGAAAACCCTAAGAAAAAGTCTTTTTGGAGCAGGCCAGGTTGGCCGAGCCTCCGATGAAGCTCTGTGGTGTGAAGGTGGGATTCATCAGAAGCCTTTCACACCTGCACAGGACTTCATCGGAGGCTCGGCGTACCTGCCCTGCTCCAGAAAGCCTTTCCGAGCGGCTGGCCTCTCCCCAATGTCTTTAGGAGAAGCAGAGAGTGCCTGCGGTGTGAAGGACCAACATCTATCTACCCCCAAGTGCTTACCTTCTCTGGCCTGGCCTCAAAAATCACCTGGGGTGGGCCAGGGTGTACGCAGGGAAAAAAAAAACAACTCGACACACACATTCCTTTTGTGCAGATTAATGTGCTAGCTCAATGCTACTTCCGAGTGGATTAATCTGTATGGTGGAAGGCCGTGATTCAATCATAGTCAAGCTTTATTTAAACAAGACAGGTTCTATAATAACTCATAATCTCTGCAATAGCTTCTGCTGGTTTTAAACCGGCATTTCAGTGCAAACCTGACTAGCTTGGAGAAGACTTTTAGTTTGAATCTCCAGGTCACCTTTATTCTTCTCTCCTGAAGGAGAGGGGGGGAAACAAACGCTCACACCCATGCAAATCGTGGACACGAATCTAATTCCGTGTCTTAAAAACCTCGGCCATTACTCTGCTGAAAATTTAGACCCAGCAGGTCAACCTAGAGCCAATCTTACCTGACTCTGTGGGTTTCCAATCTTCTACAATGTTTATTTATTACTACACCCCAAATCGGACAAAAAATGCAGCTTGGAAAAAAAAGGAAGACACCCCCAAGTGTGTCCAATTTTTATACTACTTGTTTGCATAAGGCAGCCAGCCTAGATTTGATGCTGAGCAATTTATGGCTTTCTAAGTATTTAGAATCCCCTGGAAAAAGATCTTCCTCCCGAGACACAAAACTTAACAGAATTTTCCCTTAGTTAAACTTTCCCCTAGGGCCTAGGAAGAAACACACACTTCGAGGGCCTCCAGGACACCGGAGCCAAAATCACTTTATTAAAAACTGCATCATCAGGTTGAATGTCTTCTGCTGGAACGGAATGAGACCGCCTAGCCAACACTGCAGCCTAGAGTGTGCTGGACTCCAAAGCCCATTTCGCAGATGAGGAGATTCTGCCTGGCTGTGTTTCCGAAGTATCATGCCCCCCCCCACGCTCTCATTCCCAACAACTTCCCCAAATCTCATTAACTGACGCTACAGATATTATATT